AAGAAAAAAAAAAAAGTGTTGTTGCTATTGTAATATTTGCTGTTATTGTTGTTAATATTGTCATCATTATCATCATAATCTTCTTCAGTAAGGTGAAAAAAGTTCATTTGGCCAGAACAAAATATTTAGAGACAAGGAAAGTGGCAAGAAATTGAGGCTGGAAAGGTAAGCTAGACCTAGGTCAGGTAGAACTTAACAGACCACACTGAGTTTGGACCTGTTCATGAAGATATTGGTCTGTGGTTTTCCTGTCACATAATATCTGTATCTGGTTTTGGTATTAGGGTAATGTTTGTCTCAAAAAATTACTTAGGAAGTGTCCCCTCTACTTCAATTTTTTTTTGGAAGAGATTGCAGAGAATTGGTATTTCTTTCTTCAATGTTAGGTAGAATTCACCAGTGAAATCATCTGAACCTAGTGCTTTATTTTCTGGAAGGTAACTAATTATTGATTCAATTTCTTTTTTTTTTTTTGAGACGGAGTTTCACTCTTGTTACCCAGGCTGGAGTGCCATGGCACGATCTTGGCTCACCGCAACCTTCGCCCCCTGGGTTCAGGCAATTCTCCTGCCTCGGCCTCCTGAGTAGCTGGGATTACAGGCACGCGCCACCATGCCCAGCTGATTTTTTGTATTTTTAGTAGATACGGGGTTTCACCATGTTGACCAGGATGGTCTCGATCTCTTGACCTCGTGATCCACCCTCCTCGGCCTCCCAAAGTGCTGGGATTACAGGCTTGAGCCACTGCGCCCGGCTGATTCTATTTCTTTAACAAATATAGGCTGACTTAGATTATCTATTTGTGTCTTTCAAGGAATCAGTACCTATAATGTATGTTATCATATTTGTAGACAGAGTTGTTCATAATATTCCTTTATTATCCTTTTAATGTCCATGGGATTAGTAGTGGTGGCCCCTCTTTCCTTTTTCATATTATGTTTTAAATAATGTCTTATTTGTAAAATAGAGATGGGGCTTTGCTGTGTTGCCCAGGGTGGTCTCAAGTTCCTGGGTTCAAGTGATACTTCTGCCTCAGCCTCCCAAAGTGCTGGGATTATAGATGTGAACCATTGCACCTGGCCCCATTTTTTATTTTATTAATGTTTGTCTCCTCCATTTATTACTTAGCCTGGCTAGAGGTTTATCTGTTTTATTCATCTTTTCCAAGAACAAACTTTTGGTTGCATTTTTTTTCTCTATTGTTTTCCTATTTTCAAGCCCATTGAATAATACTCTCATTTTTGTTATTTCTTTGCTTCTGCTTGCTTTAGGCTTATAATGTTCTTCTTTCTCTAGTTTCCTAAGGTGGAAGCTTAGATTACTGATTTTAGATTTTTCTCCCTTTATAATATATACATGTAATACTACAAGTTTTCTGCTTTGTTGTAGCCTATAAATTTTGTAAGTTGTATTGCATTTTCATTTAGTTCAAAATATTTTTAATTTATTGAAACCTCCTCTTTGACTCATGTATTATTTAGAAGTGTTTTGTTAATCCCAAATATTTAGAATTTCTCATCTCTCTTTTTCTAATTCATTTATCGTTTCATAATATCAGTTTAAACAGTTGTGTAACATTCTGTTACATAGATATATCATACTTTATGTAATACTGATATCTTTTAGACTTTTTTGCTATTATAATGCTATAATAAATAACTGTATACATAAGATTTTGCAACTGCAATGAAGTATGATGAAGTGTGGTAAGTGTTATACTAAAGGAGGTTTAGGTTGCCATGATAGTACATAACATGGATACCTGTGAAGTGAGGGAGTTTAAGAAAGACTTTCTCAAAGAAACTGATTTAAGCTGAGAATGAAGTAGTTGGTATCAGGAAGCTAAATAGAGAATAGTGTGGAGGACGACTTTGAGGAAGTGAAACAGTTCATTGGTTGAAAGAAAATGAGGTTAGGGACAATGGTGAGAAAATAAGATGAGGAAGGTGAGGTAGGCCTAGCTCATGCAGAACCTTAGTTTTTTGTTTTTTGTTTTAGAGAGACAGGGATCTTGCTCTGTCCCCCAAGCTAGAATACGTGGCAGAATCATGACTCACTGAAGCCCTGAACTCCTGGGCTCAGATGATCCTCCTGCCTCCACCTCCTGAGTAGCTAGGACTATAGCCATGCCCAACATGCCCAGCTAATTAAAAAAAAAAAATTTACAGACAGGATCTCTCTATGTTGCTCGAGTTGTTCTAGAACTCCTGGCCTCAGGTGATCCTCCAGCTTCAGCCTCCAAAAGTGTTAGGAGGTGTGAGCCATAGTGTCACAGCTCCTCATGAGCCACAGTGCCCAGCTCCTCATGAGTCACAGTGCCCAGCTCTCATGAGCTGTAGTGCCCAGCTCTCGTAAGCCACAGTGCCCAGCTCTCATGCAGAATCTATCAAGCCATTGTGAACAGTTTGGACTTTACCTTAAGAGTAATGGAGTTCCTAAATCAAAGAACAGAAAAAATATATATAAAAATAAGAGTAATGGGGAGCCACAAAAGGTGGCTAAAATCCACAAAAGGATTTTAAGCAGAAGTTATATTATTAGTTTGCAATTTAGAAGGAACACTGACTACTAAAAGAGGCTCAGGCTACAGAGAGTACAGGGAGTCTTATCAGTACACCAATTTCTTAATTTTGTTCATTGGCAGACCTGATTTATTTGTTAGTCTTTTAATTTTTCAATTAACTTCTAACATATTCATGAGTTGCTCTTTTAATTTTGACTTCCTGCTTTTCTTTTTTTTCTTTTTGTAGAGATGGGGTTTCCCTCTGTCACCCAGGCTGCGGTGCAGTGGTGCAATCACAGCTCGCTGCAGCCTTGACCTCCCAGGCTCAAGCACTTCTCCCACCTCAGCCTCCCAAGTAGCTGGGACTACAGGCACATGCCACCATGCCTGTCTAATTTTTTAAAAGTTTTTTATAGAGATGAGTTCTCACTATGTTGCTCAGGCTGCTCCTGAACTTTTGGGCTCAAACAATCCTCCCACCTTGACCTCCCAAAGTGCTGGGATTATAGGTGTGAGCCACCATGCCCAGCCAACTTCCTGCTTTTCAATTCTAGTTTTCAGTCTCAAATTTTACTGCCAATAACTCAAATGTTTTTAGTTTCAGTGGATCAAAACTTCTCTTTTAGTTCAAAGGCTTATTGTTTAGTCTGGAAATTAAGAATGGAACCAAAAAGAAATAGACTGTACTAGAAGGTATACAGTGAATTAGATGAAGGAGAGATGAAAGAGAGGATATTGGTGTAGAGGTGGATGTGAATGGTAGAAAATTAGCTATAGCAGTCTGTATTTACATCCAAGCTACATAAGGAAAAGAACTAGAGGTGAAGAGATGTGAGTCCATGTCTCAAATATGATCATCCCCCAATACCTATTGATTTATCAGAATACTGAAGTTAGAGAAAGCAAACTTATTTGTCTAATGTCCGTATTTTACTGTGCTAGCATGCGGGTAAGACTTTTGCCCACCAGTACCAGTTCATTATCGTCATCATAGTCTTCAAGATGAATCTCCCAAGTCCAGAGAACCTTGGTCTGAAATCCTCAGAAAACTCTTTCCACAAACTGTACTCTATTACGTAAACACCTGAGATTTGGTCTAGGTCCCGTTGCTCCGTGCAGAGAAAGTAAAGTACTGAGACAGTGAGTATTGTCAGGGAAGAAGGCTTTATTAGTGTGCCACAGTTGAGGAGAATGGGAGATCAGTCTCAAATCTATCTCCCTGACCAATTTGGGGGGTTATAGCAGGGAAGAAATGTAAAACAGGAATTAGTGAGGGGTATGGAACCTGGCATGAGGAATGAGGCATCTCATTTTCTGGATGCTATGATCTGGTGAATTTTAGTTTCTTGCCTGAGCATCAGTCTCTTGAAGGAAGAACTCAGATATAAATATAAAGTTTTAAGACTGAGAGGGTACATTTCTACATTTGTTCAAAAAACTGTAAATGTAATGTCTATGGGACAGTAGGGCCGGGTTCATAATGAGACTGAAAGAGCAAAGTGCTAATGGCCCTTGCAGGGGTGGAGGGAAATTTCCCATCCGCTTCTAAAAGTTTTCTGAAAAGTCACCTGACAAAAGGCAGATTAATAGGAGAAAAAGCAAACAAAATTTTGTTAACATGGGCTGGGGAAAATCAAGTGTGATGACCCAATATCCGACTGTGTTATAGAAGCTTATATACCTGTTTCCAGGGAGAGGGAGACGGGGAATGTAGACAATTCCAAGGGACAATAGCTCATTCAGGAGAATGAAGGGACCCTGGAGACAGAAATTAATTCATAAATTATTCTCCTTGGAATTTGAATTAGTTTAAGAGACAGCCATTATCTTGTGAAAAGGTATGTAGAGGTGTTGTTACATTCCTCAGTCTTCTTTTCTGAAGATAGATAAATAATGAGATTTCAGGGAGGGGATGGGAGATAATTGTTCTCCTTGGTAAGTCCAGTCTTCATGCAGATAAGAGAAAAGCCTCTTCTAGCATCTGCTGATCTCTAAGGGCCTTTCATTCAAACTATTTAGCATACCAGGATACCGTATTTGGGGTAAAATTCTCTGAGTTCTTTTACCCTCTTTTGGAAAATGGTAAATTCATAAAATGCAGGCTCATTTATAGCAGTGTTAATGTGTGCTTATCAGTATCAATAGTGCTTATAACTAACATTATCTTGAACACAGAAGATAAAGGGCTCAGCTAGTAAACTAGTAAGGAAGAAAGAATCTGGGATTCAGGATTCAAGCCCTACCTCTACCTTGTTTTAACTGTTTTCTGTACCACAACTTCCTTATCTCTGAAATAAGAACAATTACTTTTTCCTCATAGGAAAGCTTCTATCACAGAAGAGCTTCCCTGTGTTGGTCCCTTTAGCTTATAGACACATACCCTACTTCATTGAACAAAAAAAAAAAAAAAAAAATCCCTTTTGATGCCATACAATTTTTAGGTCTAAGTTTCATTTGCAATTCATAGTGTGATTTAATGTACGTTAATTGCCCTTAGGAAACTCCTATATCAGAATGTAGATGAGTTACACAGGCAAGTGAGAACCTTAAAAGATAAAGAAAGTCTCCTGGAAATGACCTGTTCTCAGCAACAATCCAGAATTCAGCAACAAGAGGCCCTACTTTCACAACTGGAAAATGAGAAAAGAAAATATGATGAGGTAAGAAAGTAAATAGACACGCTTCTCACTTTTCCTATTCCCATAGACCTGAGTAATAGCTAGCTATTATTGAGTCCCTACCACTTTACTAAACTTCGTTGTTTAGTCAGGGGTCAGTCAGGAGAGCAGAATCTACTCTAGGTATTTCAAACAAGAAGAGATTTAACACAGGGAATAAGAGCTTACAAAACAGTTTGAAGGGACCAGGGGAGAGAAGAGTCAGAAAGGACTGCTGCTGGCTTTCAATAAATCCAGAAGTTCAGAAATCACAGAGAAGCCACCTCTTGCAGCATCAAAGTGGAGAATTTGCAGGAACACTCCTGAAGCTCCTGTCTCATCTGTTGTCTGCGCTTTTATCCATCTGCTAGTGCTAGAGAACTGTTGGGGGGTAAAAAAACAAACAAACCTGTTTTTTCTTTCTATACTCATACCACTCTTAATACTTTACGTCTGATCTAGTTTGGATGATTCTCCTCTCCAAATCTCATGCTGGAATGTAATCCCCATCATTGGAGGTGGGGCTTGGGGGAGGTGTTTTCATCATGGGGATGGGTCCCTCATAAATGGCTCAGTTCTGATAATGAGTGATTGCATGATCTAGAAGTTTAAAGTGTGTGGTACCTCTCCACTCTCTCTTGCTCCAACTCACCACGTGACATGTCTACTCCCATTTCACCTACCACCATGATTGTTAGCTTCCTGAGGCCCTCACCAGAAGCTGAGCAGATGCTGATACCATGCTTCCTGTATAGTCTGCATACCTGTAAGCCAATTAAACCTCTTTTCTTTATAAATCACCCAGTCTTAGGTATTTCTTTATAGCAGTGCAAAGACAGCTTGACACAGAAAATTGGTACTGAGGAGTGAGGCATTGTTATAAAGATACCTGAAAATGTGGAAGCAACTTTGGAACTGGGTACTAGGCAGAGAATGGAAGAGTTTGGAGGGCTCAGAAGAAGACCAGAGGACCAGGAGCAGTGGCCCTCAACTGTAATCCCAGCGCTTAAGAGACTGAGGCAGGAGGATTGCTTGAGGCCAGGAGTTCGAGACCAGCCTGGGCAACATAGTGAGACCTTGTCTCTACAAAAAAATAAAAAATTAGCCAGGCATGGTGGCATGGACCTGCAGTAACCAGCTACCCAGGAGGCTGAGGTGGGAAGATCACTTGAGCTGGGAGGTCGAGGTTGCAGTGAGCCATGATCATGCCACTACACTACAGCCTGGGTGGCACAGCAAGACCCTGTCTCAAAAAAAAAAAAAAAAAATGAAAGTTTGGAACTTCTTAGAGACTGGTTAAATGGTTGTGACCAAAATACTGATAGAAATATGGACAGTGAAGGCCAGCCTAGTAAGGTCTCAGTTGGAAATGAGGAAATTATTGGGAACTGGAATAAATGTCACTCATGTTACACCCTCGCAAAGAACTCCTGCATTGTGTTCATGTACCAAGGATCTGTGGAAGTTTGAACTTAAGAGTGGTGATTTAGGGTCTCTGGCAGAAGAAATTTCTAAGCAGGAAAGCATTCAAGATGTGGCCTGACTCCTTGTAACAACCTATGATCAAATATGGAAGCAAAGGAATGACTTAAAGTTGAAACTTACATTGAAAAAGGAAGCAGAGCCTAAAAGTTCAGCAAATTTGTAGGCTGGCCATGTGGCACAGAAAGAATCCCAGCAGGGTATGGAGCAACTACTTGCTAGAGAAACTAGCATGACTAAAAGGGAGCCAAGTTCTTATATCCAAGACAATGGGAAAAAGGCCTAAAAGGCAACCTCAGAATCCTTGGAGACAGCCCCTATCATCACAGGCCCACAGGCCTAGGAGGAAAGAATGGTTTAGGGGGCCAGGCACTGGGTACCACTGCCCTACTCAGCCTCAGGACACTGCTCGCTGGATCCTGGCTACCACAGCTCCAGCTGTGGCTCAAAGGACCCCAGATACAGCTCAGGCTGCCTTTCCAGAGGATGCAAGTCATAAGCATTGGTGGCTTCCATGTGGTGTCATCGACACATAGAACGCAAGAGTGAAGGAGTCTTGGAAGCTCCCACTTAGATTTGTGAGAAAGCCTGGGTGCCCAGGCAGAACACTGCCACAGGGGCAGAGTCCTCACAGAGAAGCTCTATTAGGGCAATGCCAAGGGGAAATGTGGGGTTGGGGTCCCCACACAGAGTCCCCACTGGAGCACTGCCTAGTGGAGCTATAAGAAATGGGCCACTGCCCTCCAGACCCCAGAATGGTAGATTTACAGGCAGCTTGCACCCTGCACCTCTGACACCCAACTCCAACCAGTGAGATAAGCCACAGAGGCTGCAGCCTGCAAAGCCACAGGAGAAGAGCTACCCAAGGCCTTGGGAGCCTACTCATTGTACTATTGTGCCCTGGATGTGGGACATATAGTCAAGGGAGAGTATTTTGGAGCTTTAAGATTTAATGACTGCTCTGCTAGGATTTAGACTTGGCGTGGGGCCTATTGACTCTTCCTTTTGGTTAATTTCTCCCTTTTGGAATTGTAATGTTTACCTAATGCCTGTACTACCATTGTATCTTGGGAGTAAATGACTTATTTTGATTTTTACAGGCTCATAAGTGGAAGGAGATAAGTCCCAGAAGAGACTTAGAACTTTGGACTTGATGCTGGAATGAGTTAAGACTTTTGGGGACTATTGGTAGGGGATGATTGTATATAGTAGTGTGAGAAAGACATGCAATTTGAGGAGTCATGGGTGGAATGATATGATTTGGATCTTTGTTCCCTCCAAATCTCATATTGAAATGTAATCCCCATTGTTGGAGGTGGCACCTGAGGGAAGGCATTTGGGTCATAGGAATGCATCCCTCATGAATGGCTTGGTGCTCTCCTTATGTTAGTGAGTGAGCACTTCATGAGATCTGGTTGTTTAAAAGTATGTATCCAGGCATTGTAGCTCATGCCTGTAATCCCAGCAGTTTTGGAGGCCAAGGCAGGTTGATCATATGAGCTCAGGAATTTGAGACCAGCCTTGGCAATATGGAGAAATCCACCTGTACAAAAAAATATACAAAAATTAGCTGGGTGTGGCGGCACGCACCTGTAGTCTCAGCTATTCAGGCGGCTGAGGAAGGATGGCTTGAACCTGGGAGGTGGAGGTTGCAGTGAGCTGAGATCATGCCATTGCACTCCAGCCTGGGCAATAGAGCCAGACCCTGTCACAATAAGTAAATAAATAAATAAATAAAATTTAAAATATAAATAAACAAAAGTATGTGACACCTCTCCCTGCTCTCTTGCTCCTCTCGCCATATGACATGTCTACTCCCACTTCGCCTACCATCATGATTATGAATTTCCTGAGGCTCTCACCAGAAGCTGAGCAGATGCTGACACGATGCTTTCTCTATAGTCTGCAGAACCATGAGCTAATTAAACTTATTTTCTTTATAAATTACCAGATCTCAGGTATTCCTTTATAGCAATGCAGAAATGGCCGAATACAACTTCTGACACCAGTTATATGAGTTTTTCCCCATACTAAGCAATTCTCCAATTCTCTGTGGACTCCAACTGGATGTGCAAAAATGTAAGTCAGCTAACACTGTCTACCTGAAGATAGCATCAGATCCCATGAGTTAAGGTATCAGTCCCACAATACTGCACCCATTCAAGATGCTAATTGCAAGTCCAGGTTTTTGCTTATACTTCTGACCAACCAGCTATAATTCAGTGGTCTGGTCCCCACAACCTTCTCCTTGGGTTTGATCTTCTGCTAGGATGGCTCACAGAACTCAGGAAAGCAGTTTTCTTACTAGATTACGAGTTGATTATAAAAGGATACAACTCAGGAACAGCCAGATGGAAGAGATGTGTAGGATAAGACATGTGGAAAGGGATGTGGAGCTTCCATCACACCACCCTCCCAGCACCTCCACATATTCAGCAACCTAGAAGCTCTGTAAAGCCTGTCCTTTTGGGGGTTTATGAAGGCTTCATTATATAGGTATGATTGATTAAATCATTGACTATTAGTGATTAACTCAACCTTGAGTCCCTCTTCCCTCCTGGGAAGTCTGGGTGAGGCTGAAAGTTCCAAAGCTCTAATCATATAGTGGTACCCCTGGCAACCTGCCCACATCCTGAGGCTACCCAAGAGTCTCTCCACCTCCCAGACATCAGTCTTCTCATTACTTTACAAAAAGACATGTGTCACTTTAGAAATTCCAAGAGTTTTAGGAGCAGTATGCCAGGAAATAGGACAAAGATCAAAATATGTATGTATTATACCACAATCACACAAGAAAAATTGCTTTTCCTTTCCTTATGCCTTCCAAATTGTGTGCAAGTTCCTCCCATTTGCAGAAACTACACTTGATCCGTGCTAGTAGGGGAGTCTGGGAAATGCAGTTTTCAGGCTTCCAAGCTCGTGGCCCAGGGGATAGCTTAGAACAGCGGGGTCACCTTGACTTCTAGCACAGTCCACTCTGGATACTCAGCATCCATACAAATACTTTTACCTTGTGGCTTCTAACCACAAGAAGAATATCATGTTTCCATTTAACATGATGCACTATAATTCATATAAATAAAGACACACTGTCTACATAAAAATGGAGAATACTCAAAACTCAATCAGTATCTATGATTATTTTGGGGTTTTGTTGATTTCTACTTCAGTCTCAATCCACATGCGTGGATATACTATAACATTAAAACTTAATTATAGGCCAGGTGTGATGGCTGACTACTATAATCTCAACGATTTAGGAGGCTGAGGTGGGAGGATTGCGTGAGCTCAGGAGTTCGAGACCAGCCTATGCAACATAGCAAGACCCTGTCTCTACAAAATGATTTTTTAAAAATTAGCTGCGCATGATGGTGTACACCTGCAGCTCTAGCTACTTGGGAGGCTGAGGTGGGAGGATTGCTTGAGCCCAGGAGGTCAAGGCTTCAGTCAGCTGTGTTTGTGTCACTGCACTCCAGTCTGGGTAACAGAGTGAGACCGAAAGTGAAAAAAGAAAAAGCTTA